GCTTTTTTTTTTAGAGAAGAAGCTTTATAAAGCAAAAGTAATTCTCACGTCTCTTCTGTGTTCCAGAATTTCAATATAAAGTTTTGGTTTTTTTTAATATTCCACTTTATTACCCAGTGAAATCATCCTCTCTTACATAAGTTTTCAAAAAGGAAGAATATGGTTAAACCAGCAGCACAGTTTTTAATACCTTGTGGTTTCATCCTGTCCTGGTTTAGACAGTGTGTTTTAGGTAAATCTCTGTTGCATCATCTTCAGCAGTCTGCAAGATAGAGTCCCCAAGTTTTAAAGGGTTTGTTGATGGTGCTTCGACATAATGAATTACACCTTGAGTTGCTTGTAGTGGCTTTCTCTGATGTCAGTCTTGTAATTCGGTTTGGAGGTCATTAAAAAGATTGTTTGAAGTATAAGTAGATGTACTCTAATTTTTGTGAAGATGCTGCAAAAAGTAGGTGCTTTCCACAAAGGAAAGAGCTGATGAGCCAGACTGTAAGAAAGCACTGAAGTGCTGTTGTCATTATGCTGTCTGGTGCGTCCCCAAACGTCTTTCCAGTTTCCCTCAAAGTGACACACAGGCATGCTAAGCAGGAGTCAAGGTTTTCCAGCAATGTAGGTAAAGCATACTTCTGCAAGGAGAGCAGAACTGGTGATCATGGAATGGTTTGAGTTGGAAGGGACATTTAAGATCATCTAGTTCCAACCCCCTGCAATAGGCAGACAAGATGTAATTCATGGAATGGGGGGAGAATGGCTAGAAGTAAGGATGGCAAACTTTGGAGCAAAGATGTGTTGGAGGCTTTGAGAAATCAGTGGGATTGTCTTTACAGGAAAAAGCAGTTTTGTCTTCAGTGACTGAATATTTTGAAAGTCTTTGGTTCATGATAGTGAAATGTTATGCGTGCATTTCTCCATTTCCCCCTATCTCTCTCTGCAGCTGTGTGTTGTCTCTTTCTGGCATTTCTGGCATCTTTCTCTTGCCATTTCTTTTCTTCTCTTTCTTTTCACATCCCTTCACCTGCCACCTGCAGGTGAAGCATACGATTTACATGACTGTTCTACCACCTCCCCATCATCAACATATTTGGATGAGAAGGCTGAGCAGGGATACGTGCCGGAACTGCCTGCACACAGCCTCTTCAGAAGTTTTATTTACTTCATAATACAGGTTTTCTTTGTGCATATAACTGCAGGCAAAATGACTATAATAAAATCTACTGGAGCTGGGGAGAATGCAGACTAGGGGAAGTGGAAGTAAATCTTTGGAGAGAACTCGAAGGTTTCATAAGGAAGTTTGCTTTTCCCAATTGCCAGTTAATGCTAAGAGCTAGCAGCCTGTAAATGACAGTACAAATACAGCAAGTCACAGGTTGTTAAAACTCCAAAAATTTTTGACATTCACTTTCATCTTATTCCAAGGCTGTGTCTGGGATAATATGAAGAAGCTCATCCCACTTAGTTTTGAGAAACCAAGAAGCAAAAACAAATGAAGGCAGGCTGACAGACAAATAGCTATCCTAATCATGGCATTCTTACACAGACTCTAGAAGTAAAAGCAGAAGCATTTGCTGAGCTGCAGCATCTTGTTTGAGATAGAATTGCTCAGGTGTTAGCTGCTTGACTTTAGCTTCTTGTTTGTTATTTCTCTGTGTGACAGTTTTAGAAAATGGATGAGGCTAAGCCTCTGCAAATGTTTTACCTCTTAGGGTGCTGCAGGTTCCAGCTCCTGGCCTTGTGTTGTTTCACACACAAAATCTCCTTCTGTGTACTGGTATGGAGGTACAGAGCAAACTTTGGGAAACCCTAAACTTGCATCAAAGGCTCAACTTTGCTTTTGTAAGTGACTTGTGAACCAGCTGGGCAGTGCCAAAGTAAACAAGCAATACTGTGTTGTGCTGAGAAAGCAGACAGCCATCTCTCAAGCAGTTTCTCTTTGTGTGACTTTTAGGAAGAGAGAAAAGTATGTGCCCTGTGGTGTGTGACCTGTGTGGCCTGAAGGTGTTTACCAGCAGATCTGTTTTCTTGCTTACCAGGTGTCACAACAAAAGCTAAACCACAGCCTGTGTGCCTCAGTTGGTGCTACAGTTTTTAGCTTGCAATGATGCGCAGAATAATCATGCAGGAAAACATTTGCACAGACCTGTAAAGACTGACAAATACTGCTTAAGGTCTCTACGATTCTGCCTGTTTGAAAATGAGAAAGATGAAGCGTGGAAAGGTGCAGTGACTAGGCACTGGCACTGCTGGGAATGGACACCACATCTCTGAGGTATAAAAGAAAAGGTGAAAGCTGCCCTGCAGAAGCACACAGCTGTGGGTTGGGTTGCCACTGGGAGCAGCAGACAAGTCATGGTCATTCTGAACTATAAAGTACGTTATACAGCCCTTGTCCTCCTTGCTGTTCGCTGTAGATCAACATCTTACATATGAGAGTAAACTAGATTAACTGCCAGTTGTAAACACAAGATGCATCAGTGTTTTATCCTGATGAAAGATGCAGGGCCAGAATTCAGAGAACAAGGCACTGTTACACAGAATCACAGAATCACAGAATCACCCGGGTTGGAAGGGACCTCAAGGATCATGTAGTTCCAACCTCCCTGCCTAGCAGGGCCACCAAACATACACATTCAGATCAGGTTGCCCAGGACCCCGTCCAACCTGGCCTTAAACACGTCCAAGGACGGGGCATCCACAACCTCCCTAGTCAGAGCTACGGGTGATGGGCTGACTTCACTAAGATCAGTCGTGAAATGCTGCCAGTTAAAGGGCTTGTCTTGCACCATCAGGAGACTGTTTCTGGTGATCCAAAACTACAAAGAAGTTTAAGAGAGTGGCAGGGCTTGTAAGGATAGTGACAGTATTTACAGACAGACTGATGTTTGGGGAAAAAAAATGGACAAGAACCTGAGCACTTCACCTCTTCAAACATCTTTGCTTTTCTGTATTTATGCACATAGGACTGGCAGTGCTTCATCCCTGGGTCTACTGACCACAAGACAAAAAACACACGCAGTTGTTCCCTGCTTACATCACCCGAAGAGCAGCCTCAGACCACGGAGCGAGGTCTGCAGACAGGTCCCAGCTGCAGTGGCTGCAGGTAGTGGAGGTGTGCTGGTAGTGGAGGTGAGCAGAGTAGATGCGATGTCCCACCCACGGGATCTGTAATCTCACAGATTCATTATCTCAAAAGCTTTAAAGTTAGTAGTGACATAGCAATACTTTTCTGATACCATTAACATATCATTCAAGTACACACATATGCACACACAGAGTTAGCTATACTGCAGCCATGAAAAAGGCTGCTGCTTTTTATGAAGCTTGGTGATGTTGGCAGATTGACATCTTAGGCAGGAAAAAAGGGATTTTGCTTTTTCTGGATGAATGTGACATACAGAATCACATCCACAACCTCCCTGGGCAGCCCGTTCCAGGGCCTAACCACTCTCCTAGTAAAGAACTTCCCCCTAACATCCAACCTAAATCTTCCCTCCTTCAACTTAAAACCATTTCCCCTAGTCCTGCTGTTATCAGCCCTTCTGAACAGTTTACTCCCCTCCTGGGTGTAGGTTCCCTTCAGGTATCGATAGGCTGCAATGAGGTCACCCCGCAGCCTTCTCTTCTCCAGGCTGAACAAGCCCAACTCCCTCAGCCTGTCCTCATAGGGGAGGTGCCCCAGCCCCCTGATCATCTTAGTCGCCCTCCTCTGGACCCTTTCCAAAATCTCAATGTCTTTCTTGTACTGAGGGCTCCACACCTGGACACAGTATTCCAGATGGGGCCTCACAAGAGCCGAGTAGAGAGGGACAATCACCTCCCTGTCCCTGCTGGCCACCCCTCTCCTGATGGAGCCCAGGATCCCATTTGCCTTTCGAGCTGCCAGAGCGCACTGCTGGCTCATATTCAGTCTCTCGTCCATCAGGACCCCCAGGTCCTTCTCTGCCGAGCTGCTCTCAAGGACCGCTCCTCCCAGCCTGTACAGGTGCCTGGGGTTCTTCCGGCCCAAATTCAAAACCTTGCACTTTGCCGTGTTGAACCTCATCAGGTTCACCCGAGCCCAGTCCTCCAGCCTGTCGAGGTCCCTCTGAATGGCATCCCTTCCTTCCACCGTATCAACCGCACCACTCAGCTTGGTGTCGTCAGCAAACTTGCTGAGGGTGCACTCAATTCCCTCATCGATGTCATTAATAAAGATGTTAAAGAGCACCGGTCCCAAGACAGACCCTTGGGGGACACCACTTGTTACCGGCCTCCACCTGGACATAGAGCCATTGACCACCACCCTCTGTCTGCGGCCTTTCAACCAATTGCTTATCCATCGGGTCGTCCACCCATCAAATCCACTTCCCTCCAATTTGGAGATGAGGATGTGGTGGGGGACCATGTCAAAGGCCTTGCTCAGGTCCAGGTAAATGACATCGGTCGCCTTCCCTTCGTCCACCAATGCCGTCACTCCATCATAGAAGGCCACAAGATTAGTTAGGCATGACCTTCCTTTGGTGAAGCCGTGCTGGCTGTCTCGGATCACATGCTCATTCTTTATGTGACCAAGCATGTTGTCCAGGAGGACATAATTTTCCTGTTACCTGTTCAGGCAACCTTATCAAGGAAAGCAATGACTTTTGTTTCCCTCTATGTCTCTTTAACGATATTAACCTAAAAAATGCAGCTTTTTTTGTTTCCAAAAAATCTGTCTGGATTGTATGGGCTTTTCTGGAAATTTACTGCATGTTTAACATCAAAACCAGTGGTCTGTCAGGTTGCAGGTTTGGTATTATCTCAACTACCAGCCCTAACGGGGGTGGAGGGAGAAGGGGAAGGGTGGGGGGAGTAAGGAGGCAGAGGAGGCAGTTGCACAGCTGCTGAAAGCTTCTACAGAAAAAATCTTGAACTGACAGAACACCGCAGCTGCGTGGCGGGCCCGGGACAGCCGGCGAAAGGCGCCGCTCCCCGCTGCGCATGCGCGCTGTAACCCGGCGGTGTAGGGGCGTGGCTTGGCGCCTGCGGGGCATGCGTAGTGCCGCCGAGGGTGAAGGCTCACTTGGAGCAGCGGCGGCGGTTAACGGAGGTGGGAGCGCTGAGGTCAGGTGAGGCGGCCTTCTCCTCGGTCTCCATTCCGGCATGCGGTGCTGCCCTCGCGGCCTTTTTCTCGTGTGAAGCAGGGGCTGCTCGCGACTGAGGCCGCCTTTCGACCTGACGGGACCTTTGGAACCCCGGTTGCCCCGTATGGCGGCTGGGTGCCGGTGACCTGTGCTCTGCCGGGACCGGCGGGTCTGGGCTCCCGCCAGCCGCACCTCCGCTCTCAGTGCGGGGCTGAGCCTGTGGGGCTGGCCGGCGGCGGGGCGGGAGGGAAAAAACAGCTCCGTCCCGTAAACGCGGCTGCTGCTGTTTAACTAGAATTCATGCAGGTTTACTGTCGGGATGGAATTCTGATCGTAACTGGTTGCTTTTCCTTTGCTGTGCCGTTGTGCTGGGTGTCTGTGTGCTTAGCGGGACGTTGCTCGGCGCCTCTGGTGCGCAGCCACAGGGTGCCCGGCACCTTACTGGTGTTATCTGACTGGCCCTGTGTGCACAGGTATCTGTGCTGAGTAGGGTATGAACACAATTGGGCCATCGCCTCCTTGTGTTTTACAAAAGTAGAGTTTCTTTTGGCAATTTTCAGCTGTTAGGAACTGGACTAGACAAGGGCCATTAAATCAGGATACTTGGGCTGGGGATGGGTCATGGTGATTGTATAAGGTTTTGTTAATGAATGCTTATCCTTATAAATTGACAAGCATTTCAGGTCTCTTGTCCTGTTCATCATGTCTCAAGGAGAACTGCTTGCATAGGAACTACCTGGGGAAAGATCTCCTTGAGAGCAGCCCTGCAGAGAAGGACTTGGGGGTACTGCTGGAAAAGAAGCTGAACGTGAGCCAGCAGTGTGCACTTGTAGCCCAGAAGGCCAACTATGTTCTGGGCTGCATTAAAAAAGGGGTGGCCAGCAGGGAGAGGGAGGTGATTGTCCTCCTCTACTCAGCTTTTGTGAGGCCCCATCTGCAATAATGAGTCCAGGCCTGGGGCCCCCAGTACAGGAAGGACATGGAGCTCTTGGAGCGGGTCCAGAGAAGGACCACTAAGATGATCAGAGGGCTGGAGCATCTCTACTATGAGGAAAGGTTGAGGGAACTGGGCTTGTTTAGCTTGGAGAAAAGAAGGCTCTGGAGAGACTCATTGTAGACTTCCAGTACTTGAAGAGAGCATATAAACAGGAGGGGAAATGACTGTTTACGAGGGTAGATAGTGATAGGACAAGGCAGAATGGTTTTAAACTGAGACAAGGAGGTTTAGGCTAGGTATTAAGGAGAAGTTTTTCACAGAGGGTGTTGACACACTGGAACAGGTTGCCCAAGGAGGTTGTGGTGTTGGTAGGTGGTATTGTTTCTTAATAAATGTCTATAGAAGATGTTTTTAGGTGACTGGGATCTTTCTCATGTGGAATCAATACCATTTCATGTTCATCTTTGGAACACACCCCTAGAGCAAAGAGTGACAGAATAAACAATGAAGTATAGGTTTGGGGTTTGTTCCTTTCTAATTTAAGACATTCACACTCATTTAAACCATACTTAAAACTAGATTGAGCTTTATGTCATCAGTCTTCTGCAGTAAATTATAGTGATGATTCTGCGGCTTTTAAGCAAACAGGCCCTGAGCTGTGCACTGCTTATTTGTAACCATGCTATTGCTTTTCAAAGCTTTTCTGTACTTTGAGGTCAGTGTCTAATGTGTCTAAATGTAGAATTGCATATATGCTTGTGTCTTTCAGCACTGAGGATTTGTACTTATTAATGTTTTTATGTTGTGCCTTATCGATCATCACAAAATGTGCAAATAATCTGGTAACCTCTACTAGACATTTAATAAATTTGAAGTTCTTCTTTCCTGAGTAAAAGATAATACAGCCTTCTGTATTTCAGAGAGGAGAGAACACTGCAGGCTGATCAGGAAGAGTGAAAAGTTATAATTTATTAAAATAGTAACCGTAATCATTTCTTGTGTTAACATATCCCTTTGGTAGGTTGTACGTCAAGAAAACATGGCAGATCCTTGGCAAGAATGTATGGATTATGCAGTTACATTGGCAAAGAAAGCTGGGGAAGTAAGTATAAACCATTTATAACTAATAGCATTATTTATTGAGGCTGGTATATGTGTAGCTTTTGAATGAGCTTTGGTGTTTTATATTCTTCAGAGGAGTATTTAAAAAAAAAAAATTAGCACAGTAATTAAATAAGTGTTTCAAGATTGGAGTACCTTTCAGCTTGGTTAGTGTAATAGAGAATTTTGCATCTTTCTTGGAATGAGGGTCTAATAAAAACCAAGGAATATCTTTTGTTCCTTAGATTTCATTTTAAAATTATTTTGGAATAATGGTAAACAGTGAGTATTTGTTTTTTCCCTTAAATTTGTTTCCCTTATTTTTTTGTGTACCTGAAAACTGTTGGCAGTCTTTCTTTGGAACACTGTTAGTCGACCTTACACAGTGACTTGGTGGCGTATCGTACCATGCTGTTTTCTCTTTCTGAAGAATGCTTTACATCTACAAATAAGAAATATTTCTCACAGTTTCTGTACTTCAAAGTATTGTGATCTAAGATCTCTTTAAAGAGCTTCTCTGTCTTAGCAAAGGCTCATCATAGGAGCTGTTAATGGAAGTTCATTTATTCACTGTAGTTCTGCTTTGTACAGCTGTCTGTAGCTTGAGAAGATGGCACGTGTGCTAATGCTGTACTTGGAGCTGCAAAATGGCAGAACATTGTCCCTGCTATAACCTCGTTACAGTCTTCCCTGAAAAAACTTTCTGAGTAAACCAATAATCTGGCTTGCAGCATGCGTTCTTATTCAAGCTGATTCTGCTAATTTTAAGATCATAAATGTAAGATCTGGCTAAAAATGCATCACATACGCTCAGTCCTAAATATTTCTGTTTGTTTATTAATTTATAAATTTAGCACTTGTAACAAACAGAGCTCAGTGTCATGTACCTTTGTAAAGGTCATGTAGAAGTTTGCGCTGAGTAGGGACTGCAGAAAGATGTAGGGATGAGCCCCTGTAATTAAATGGAGATTTGCCACTGTTTGTCTTTCTGTTATGTATGTGCAGTGTAGAAAATTGCAGTAAAAATGATGCCGGGTGATGCTCAGATTCCTGAGAGAGCTAATTTTTTCCATGCTGTTAATGAAGAAAGCTTTTTTTTTTTTTTCCCCCTCTTTTGTTAACAGATAATCCGTGGAGCGCTCAAGGAAGAAAAATCCATTATGATTAAAAGTTCACCAGTAGATCTAGTGACTGAAACTGATCAAAAAGTAGAAAACTTCATTATCTCATTGATAAAAGAAAAGTATCCTTCTCACAGGTACAGTTCCTAATGTATCATAGAATCATGGAATCACAAGGTTGAAAAGGACCTTACAAGATCATCTGGTCCAGCTGTCCTCCCATTACCACTGCTGATACAAGTCACTAACCCATATCTCGTAGCTCCTCATCCAGATGCCTCTTGAACACTGCCAGGGACCACAACTCCACCACCTCCCTGGGCAGCCATTCCAGTACCTGACCACTCTCTGAGAGAAAAAGTCTGAACTTCCTCTGGTACAACTTGTGGCCATTTCCTCAAGTCCTGTTTTCTTGCATGGAAGAAGAGGCCAAACGCCTCCTCACTTCTGAGGGGGCTCTGGGCAGTCTGCTCTAGTGGTTGGTGACCCTGCACATAGCAGGGGGGTTGAAACCAGATAATCATCATGGTCCTTTTCAACCAGGCCATTCTATGGTTCTAATCAGTTCAATTTTGATAAAAGGGAAGGGATAATGAAATGACAAGTTTGATTTTGCTTGGTAAAATTCTGTTATGACTGTCTGTTGGAAAGCTACAGAAATCTCCCATAGCTTTAGGATATTGTTTCATAGCGCTAATTTTTCCCAAATGCTTTGAAATTCATTGCTTGCTAATTTTGGTATCAACTTAAGAGAGGTATAGTAACAAAATGTAGCATCCATGTAGTTAGTGACATAGAGTTACCATGGGTCAAGGCTCATACTGGAAATCACTTCAGTTTGAACCAGCTGTATGTCATTAAGTTCTTGGTCTTTTGTGTTGGAGCATCATGAGCAGCCCCAAGGTAACTGGATCCAAATGTCTTGTATACTTTTGGTTGTACGAACTTGCATATCTTCACTGCCTAAGCTGGATGGCTGCTGTGGTAGTGAGTGTGCCTATGGTAAATACACGTGTAAGAGCCTTGAAAGCAGATTGACTTTTCTGCTTCTGCATTACTGAGTTTGTTATACAAAGTACTGTGTACTACAAAATACTCTTTGTTTTATGTATTTGTATAAGAAGAAATTTCTTCTTGAAGGGCATGTTGTATTAACTTGCTGTCTTTCCGATTTTGACATAAGGCTGAAGTTTAGTACAGTTTTCTAAAGGAGATTTGCTAAATTTTCATGCCTTTTCTTGGAGATTTTCTTATCATAGCAATATATGTAAAAATAAATAAGCACAAAGTTAGTAGGACTCAAGTGATGTAATCTCAGTAACCTAACCAAATCAGTGTAAGCGTCCAGGTGTAAGTAACAACCTCAGAAGAAAGAAGTTTCTGGTATTGACAAACAGGTTAGACTATTTAAACTTCGTTTTATATTAGGTAATTTATACTTTCTTGGACACATTTCTGTTGAATTTGTTTCTGATAAATTTCTCATTTACCTGAAATAACTCTTCAGTCTTTCTCTTCTTGAAGATCTGCATTTTGGAAACGTGCTGTTTCTTTCTGAGCAGTTATCTTCACTTCTCCAGTTGATCATAAGAGCAGGCACTTGATGTGTGCTTTTCATTGGTTGAGTAATATGTGGTAAAATAAATGTGTGAAAAGCATAGAAGAGAATTCTACCTGCTAACATTGATCCTAATCATTTTGCAGTTCAAAACAAATACTTCCAAAAAACAGATTCTGAAATTTGGGTTTTTGTGGTACAGCTACATGTGTCCCGTGGTTTAGTAGCATGCCTGATCACACACGCTTTGCCCTGTCTTTTGGGGAGGCTCTGATTTGGTTTTCATCCCTTAACCAAGTTCCATTTTTTCAGAATGCTCATAAAATGCAGTTCTGAGTTGTAACCATTTTGCCATATCTGAGTTAAGTGTTAATGACCAGTTACTGTAGTGATCGAAGCACGTGAGTGTGACCATAAAAGCTTTCTGCAGTTAAAATACAGGCAAGCAATGCTTTATAGCACAAATAAACTGAAAGTACTCTAGCCAAAGCTTGGTGATGGTGTTACTGTTTAGAATGAAAACTTCAGTGTTTAGAATGCTAAATTCCAGTGAGGGATATGAAAAAAGCATTTTTTTCCCCCACCATTTGTGCTGTTTTCTGACATGATAAATTTCAGTACAAGCTTGGTCAGGTGCAGTTGGTGCTTTCCAGCTTTTCTCCTCTTTTCACATATGATTTGTGATGGTATGAAAGCCTGCATCTTGCTTCAAGAATTTAAGTTTCAAGGACAGTATTGTAATTCAGAACTTCTAAACAATTTCTTTGTATCTTTTAAATATGTTTCCTACTGCAGCTTTATTGGAGAAGAATCGGTTGCAGCTGGAGAGGGCAGCATTTTGACAGATAGCCCCACATGGATTATAGACCCTATTGATGGAACTACCAACTTCGTGCACAGGTTCACCTTTCACTCTTTGTGTTAGCAACTTCAACTGATTAACATTTTTCTTTCTGCAATTCCTGGAAAGTACAGCCTTTTCTCTTTTAAATTCCTTTAAAAGGGATATTGTTGGTAGTTACGAACTGTTGAAATTTAATGAGATACTGGATAATTTTAATTGTTATTTTAGTATTTCTGTAACTTTTATAGTAGTGTTGCCATTACCGTGAGCATATATTCCTTCAAAGCTTTTTACTATGTGTGGTCAGCAGCCTTGAAAAGCATCAGGAGTCAGAATTAGGAGCTGCACCTTCAGAGAGGTCTTAGTGAAAGGCAGTAACAGCTCTAAGCACTGGTTTCCAGCAGCTTTCAAATCTGATCTGGGAGCTCCTACAATGAAAGAAAATGAAATTATCACTAGTGGTTGCTTATGGGTGTTCTGTATGTTGAGAAGGGGGCTTTCAGGGTAGTGATGACTGACTGTTCCCTCATCTGTGAAGCACAGAGTTTGACCTTGGTGAGTTTTTTGGTGGTTTTTTTTAATGTTCTTGAATACCATTTTCAAATGACTGTTTCTGTGTGGGCCGCAGCTTTAAATAGGTGCTGTACCCTGATAATTAACATGTATAAAAAAGCCAGAAGAAAATAACATGTTCTGCTGAATTTAACGACTTAAATCTGTAAGGAAGGCAGGGGAGATGAGTAACTGCTTCTGATGAGGCTGTTTTGGCCAGTTTGTTCCTCCTGAGAAAGGTTAGTGGTACAGAGGCCTGCTTGTATTCTTTAGCTATAAAAATGGCAGTCTCCAAGCCTAAATGTAACACTCGTAGCTTCACTGGGTAGAAAAGTTTGTATTTGCAATGATAAATGGTGTTGTTGGATGTATTTTCATAGTAAACTCTGCAAATTCCAGAAAAAGTATTATTTCCTATATATTCCACATTTCTTTCTTTATTGCACATGAGTGAACATTGTTTTTGTTAAGCATAAGCATGGTAACAAAAGAAGTTTGGTGTCTTCACTTTAGTGAAATGTTTTGTTTTGTAGGTTTCCATTTGTGGCAGTTTCAATTGGCTTTGTTGTAAACAAAAAGGTATACTTTTCATTACTTAATATCTAATCAAGCAAAACCAATCAATTTCTTGTTGCTAGTTATTATTAAGATTTGTATTTTCACAGTAAATAGGAAGAAAGGGAACAGAAACAGAAATGTCACTTTTCCTTGCAGATAGAGTTTGGAATTGTGTACAGCTGTGTTGAAGACAAGATGTACACTGCCAGAAGAGGAAAAGGGGCATTTTGCAATGGTCAGAAACTTAAAGTGTCAGGCCAAGAAGGTAAGTGGAACAACAAAGCTTTTTAAAATAATTTCATTTCTTTTACAAGTGGTGCATCGATGCTTTTGGACTTGGATGTATTCCAGTTTGTTAGCATGCTGTTTTGCTTACAAACACAGGCTTTTTGGCCATGAATTATTCAGATCTGAGAAACAGTTACATTCTCTTTGATCCATATAACATGCTTGTGATCTTTGCATGATCAGCACTCAGCAGTTGAATTTCTTATTCCTTGTCTGTGTTGGTTTTTTAAAGTGCATTTCCTGTAAGCCTGCAATCCCTCTGTTTGTTCTGTAGGAACCATAACAAATCTATTAAACAATTCAACGTTGTCCAGCTGTGAACTTTGTTCAGGTTTTAAATCACTGTCACTCTTTTGTACTTGCCTATCCTGTATAAAATAAAATCCTCACTTAAAGTGGAGGGCCTTTAAAGTTCTGAGAATTCATTAATTTTTCAAACAATGCTTTTTCTTAGTAATGACATCGATTAATGTATACATAAAATTAAACCATCTTATGCTATATTGACTTTATTTCATATTGTCCTGCCGTTACACTTCTAAGGATTTTTATACATCCATGTACATGTAGTATTAATATTTAAATGACTTTTATTCTTTTGTGTAAGAAATCAATGGTGTAATCTCTGCTTGAATTTATCTTAAGTTTAATAACAGTAATTAGGTATCTAAGTTGTACTGTTGGAAAAGTGAGGTTTTATTATTATTATTATTTTATTTTTTTTTTCAGACATTACAAAATCCCTTATAGTGACAGAATTGGGATCAAATCGTGATCCAGAGACTATAAAAGTTGTTCTTTCTAACATGGAAAGACTCCTCAGTATTCCTATTCACGGGTAAGATACTGTTAATTTTTGATATTTAGGACAGATCATTTGCATATTTTGAAATGCAGTGGGATATAAATGCTACTGTGTAGTAGCCCTCTGCAGAGAAACTGTATTTTCACTTTTTGAGACTGAGATATAATGAACAAAACAGTAACAAATCAGATAGAATTGAAAATTAAAGCATGGTTTGTAGGACTAGGAAGTATTGTTTTCCTAGGCTTTTGTTTTGTTTTTTAAGAGCTACGAGAGATGGTTTAGTAGCTTTTGGCACTGATAGGAATGGGAGGGTGGTTGGACTAGATGATCTTGCAGGTCGTTTCCAACCTTGTGATTCTGTGATTCTGTGAAATGTGATTGGATATGCTATGCTGTATTAAAGCAGCTGTTAGATGTCTTATTTCTGTGTAGCAACAGAAGTCATTTTTATTTGCTAATATAGAAGACAAAAGTAGATCTTCCTTTCCTCTTTTAATTCTGCACAAATACTTCTAATTTTCCAAATAATTGACATTACCAGCAAACTGCTCCTAGCTCAATGTGTTCCTTGTTTCTTCTCATCTAGGTGACCCGAAACCTACATTTCCACAAACCATTTTCTTTAAATGAAGGTGGTTCCAGTAGACAGATTTCTCTTGTTCAGTCTGCTCCTGTTTCTAATCTAAAAGTAGTTATAGTTTTATGCTGAGATTCTCAAGGTTCTTGTTTTGACATTAAACACTTAGTTTGTGTTTTCAAAAATCCTTCCAGTGTCATTGAGGATTATATGTTAAGTTATAAGGAAGGAAAGCATGAAGTGTTTCCTCACTTCAACTTTGGTATTTTATGTGTAAAAAGAGCTTGAAGTTGATTTAAGTTCCTTCTTGCTGTAACTTAGCTGCTATCAATTACGATGTAATGCAAATTCTGCTGATAATTGAAATAAGTACTTAAACAGGTTCCTTAATTAATGACATCAATATTTCCAAAAGGAGATAGAATTTGTAACACAAAGAAGATTTTGATTAAGTTACCCAGACTGGTTTTACACTGCGTGATTTATTTTTTTATGATGATTGCTATTGGGTTTTTTTGCAAGCCAGAGATGTTTACTGAGCTTCCCTTGAGAAAGGGAAGTAAGTGTCTTTTCAGTGTTGATAAGTGTGCACTGTATTTGAAGTCTTGTATAGGAAAAGCAGAGTAGAGTATCTGTTACTGTTTCATGGGTAAATCAACAAATTGTAGGGCTTGGAATGGACCTCTGGAGAGCATCTAGTCTAACCCCCTGCTAAAGCAAGTTCCATACAGATGGTTGCCCAGGAAAGCATCTGGGCAGGTTTTGAGTATTACCAGTGAAGGAGACTCCACAGCCTCTCTGGACAGCCTGTTCCTGTGCTGTCACCCTCAAAATAAAGAATTTTTTTCTCATATTCATAGGGAACTCTGTTTCAACTTGGGCCTGTTGCTTCTTGTCGTGTTACTAGGCACCACTGAAAGGAGCCTGGCCTCATCCACTTGACTCTTGCCTATCAGATATTTATAAGCACTGGTAGGATCCCTTGCCAGTTTTCTCCAAGCTGAACAGTCCCAGGTCTCTTGGCCTCTCCTCATAAGGGACATGTTCCAGGACTCTAATCGTCTTTGTGGCCTTCTGCTGGACTGTCTGTGGAAGTTGCTCATCTTTCTTAAACTACGGAGCCCAGAACTGGATGCAGTACTCCAGTCGTGGCCTTACCAGGGCAGGGGAGAGGGGGAGGATCACCTCTCTCGACCTGCTGGCCGTGCTCTTTAATGCACCCCAGGATACCACTGGCCTTCTTGGCCACAAAGGTGCACTGCTGGCTCACGGTCAACTTGTTGCCCGCCACGACACCTATGTCTTTCTTCAAGAGCTCCTTCTCCAGCAGATCAGTCCTGAACCTATACTAGTGCTGTTATTCCTCCCAAGGTATAAGAGTCTGTACTTGCTCTTGTTGAACCTCATCAGGTTCCTCTCTGCCCAACTCTTCTGCCTATTTAAGTCTCACAGTCTGCGGGTCTGTCAGCCATTCCTCCCAGCTATCTTCCATAATAGTTGTTGGGTTTTTTTTAGGCTGTTATTCAATATTTATTTTCTTTCTAAAGCCAGGTTTTAAATTGGAATTCATAAATATTATTTCTGGGAATTTGCTATGCACACAGCTTTGAGCTACTTAGACAAAGTAATTGCAAATGAAGTTGCACATATTTGCAGCATTCCATCCTGTTTGCTCTAGCTCAGCTCATTCTGCACATGATGCTTTTGTGTTCTTTGCCATGTGCACATACCTTGTGACTTCCTTACAAACTGTTCTTTACTGAAAAACAACTGTCTTCTTTAGGATTAGAGCCGTTGGTACAGCAGCTGTGAACATGTGCCTTGTGGCAGCGGGTGGAGCTGATGCCTATTATGAAATGGGGATTCACTGCTGGGATATGGCAGGGGCTGGAATCATTATTACTGAAGCAGGAGGTGTGCTCCTGGATGCCTCAGGTAAGCATAGCAGAATGCACAACATTCCTTTGTCACTTTAAACAGCTGAAAAGAGAATGCAGAGAGGTTATTGCTACTAAGCAGAATTAACATCGTTAATATACAGAGACAATTGTCTTACAGCTTAAGAGCATATCACTTTCTAAACCATTTGGCTGAGCACAAAAAAAGACAGAAATTAAAAAAAAAAAAATTAAGAAAAAATTTTTTTAAAAAAAAGCGGTAAACGTGTTCAGAAGAATTTAAATGTAGTTCATATGCTGCATAAACTGGTTGAGTTAAATGTGTTTTTATCCAGTGGCAGGACGTGGTCCAGAATCATAATATATCCTTTTTTTTGTTAATGCTCATTTTCTTAACAACTTTTAATATTTTTTTTTCCAGCAAAAAGCTACTTAACTTGCTTGCTTTTATTTCTAGGTGGACCATTTGATTTGATGTCTCGGAGAATAATTGCAGCAAGCAGTCGACCTATTGCAGAGAGAATAGCCAAAGCACTTCAGATAATTCCTCTGAAAAGAGATGATGCAACTAACTGAATACCAAAGCTGCACCTTTAAACATACAGTTGTACAATGGTTCTCTCTCTCATGTGGTGGTTGTTCCACACCTGGCACCTGATTTAAAAAAAAATAGATTGTGTTCTTTCAGTACTGGATAGCTTATGGTGTGACTGTGAAGCAGTGTTTTGAGATTGGACCAAGATCTACGTAAGCTTTTATTGTCAAGTATTCTATTTAGCATTAAAAACACATATTTGCTTCCTTTTATAGATCTACAACTGCTGTTTTGAAGCTTTATACTACACTGGAAAGCATAGCTAACACCCTTTAGTTACATAATACCAAAACAGATTCACTATCTCAGCACCACGCAGAAGCTTAAGGCAGTACTGTTTATCCGTTCTCTAACCTTTTCTCTCCTGACTGTTGTTTCTTTTTCAGTATCATCAACATATCAATTTCCTTAACTTGTTAGGGTTTTTCTAGAAGTAGTTTATGTATTTCTGAATGTTTTTTTAGTTGCTTGTAGTTTGGGATCTCATTTAAAGCCCCTTTTAGTTACCTGTCTTTGTTTTTGTAGTCATGGTTCTACCTTTTTTACATTAGATAAACACAGTCTCCTCTTTTGCTTTTTATGTGGCCAATATTCTTGCATATTTATTACAGTTGCAGAAATAATAACTACTGTGCCAGGAAAACATGTTTTTCCCAAGAATAAGTTCTGAGCACACTTCCTATTGACAGATGGACTTGCTCCTGCTTAAGATTGAAGTATGACTTAAATTTGTCCTGTCACTTGGAATTATCAGCTTGTATGTACTAGGTTCTTACTCTTATTATTTGAACCATAATACCCATTAATCTTGTTTGAGTTTCTCCATGATTAATTAATTTCAGAACCTAAGGAATAATTGAAGTCTGAACTGGCAAAAAATAAGCCAGTAGTCCAGGCTTCTTACATCGTTCTCTCTGAGTTATAAAAGCGATGACTGACCAAGTTCAGGTTTCCATTGTGTTATGTTGTGGATAGGCACAAAAGAAAATATGTTTCTAACCCTAAGTGTTTTCAAATCTAAGAAATACCAGTAATCTAATGCTTTATAGTTCTAAACTTCTAAAACTATACAGTTCTTTGCATTTTTGTACTTAAAAGTATCAGTCTACTGACCAAACAATGAACGCACTTTAAGAAAAAACCTTAATTTAGATCACTTTTTAACCTGATTTTTCTGCATCTGACGTCTCCAAAATAAAATTGTCTTATAGAGATTGTCCAGTCAGAAGACAGCAACATTTTGGAAAGCCTGATTTGTACTGCTGTCCCACTGTCTTTGTTTTGGCAAATGATCTTCTCTCTTGAAAGTTCCAGCATTAATTTGAGCTTTTAATATCAGTTCGTTTTTTTTTTTTTTTTAAACAGTTTTGCTGAAATGTTGTATTTGAAACTGTATCTAATGCCAGATGATTAACATTAATGATCAGCAGCTGCCTGATATTAGGTCTTTTTTAAAAATAATTTAAAAAAAATCAGACTTAATTTTACTTTTAAAGTTACCATTTGACATGGATAGGGACTGTTTGGCCATTTCACTGTAACTTTATTGCTGTAAATGATTTGGGATCACTGTTTCTTGAGTATGACTGTTGTACTATTTCTCTGGCTTCTGTAGAACAAAACCTGCATAACTTTTTTTTTTTTTTAAACTGATTAATTTGTGAAATGGAGACATAGGTTTAAAAAAAAAATAAAGTGAAAGGATGTGTTCAAAATAAATGGGTCCTGGAGGAGCAGCTGCTTCAGGTGTGCTTCCCTGCTTAATGATAGAATCGTTAGAAAAGCTGTCTGAGATCACCTAGGCCAATGAACCACCTGCCAGCAATGTTGCCCACTAAGCCATGTCCCTTAGTACTGCGTCCACTCTTTCCTTAAACACCTCCAGTAATGATGACTCCACTTTATCCCTGGGTGATCTGTTGCAATGTCTAACCTCTCTCTGAGGAGAAAACAAAAAATTAATATATATCATAGTGCAATGCTGGGATCCAGCAAGCTGGGTATGTGAGCTTGGGGCTGTCTCTGAGTTGAAAACTTTGTCGTCTTGGCCTCTGATACACATGAACTGTTATGCCTCTACAGAACAAGTGCAGGTGTATATTGTCTATATATAAAAGTATATAAGAACACTTTTATAAGTGTTCTTATAAAAATACTTCAGCAGCTTCCCATGAGATGATAATATGCTAATTATGTCAGTCCTTAGATCTCAAATCTTACAGAGCACTTGACTTTCTTCACTGTTTGTGAGGCCCAGCAGCTGGTTGAAACACAGAGCTTTCTCACCCTTAGCTTTCCTAACACTCTATGGAGAATTTATGGAGCATCATTTCACATATTTATTTTCTTACTCAGTATTCACCTTCTAGGTTTTTTTGTGGTGTTTTTTTTTGTTTGTTTGTTTTTTGTTAAACTATGTGACAGATTTTAGGAGTTCTCTGTTTTCTTTTTAACTTCAGTTTTCCTTTCAGGGACATCAGAAATCCCTGCTTGCTACTTCGCTGCAGCATGGTTCTCTCAAATAAGTCGTAATGTAAGTTGCGTCTTATGTCTATATAACTTCCAGTCATATAGAAAGTACACCTGAATGTCGTCGTTTAGACACATTTTGTATCTGTTACTGTGCAATTTTGACAAAAGATTTAGTAAAATGGTGAAACTGTGATAACTGTAATCAAAATGCTTTTGAGAGATTATAAGATATGGTCCCTGAAAGTTCAATAAAACACCTATTTTATTTTGAAAAGGGGTGGCAAAGATAGTCATGCTAAAATTGTTTAAATTATGTTCTAAAATTTGTATATGAAGTGATATATTTATGAGGTAGCTTCTGCTGGACAATTCATGTGAGACAATCAGAAAGGAAAACCAGTTACCATGTATGGAATCACAGATTTAGACTGGAAGGAACTTGAAGATCATCTAGTTTCAACCCCTCTGCCATGGGGGTTGAGGGGGCCATCCCTTAGCCCACGTTGCTCAAAGCCCCATCCAGCCTAATCTTGAATGCTGCCAGGGGTGGGACATCCAAAGCTTCCCTGGGTAGCATGTTCCAGTGCCTTACTGCCCTCAGAATGAAGAATTTCTTCTTTGTATCTAATGTAAATCTCACCTTGTTTTAGTTCAAAACTGTTACTCCTTCTCTTGTCACTATACTCCCTGGTAAAGAGTCTCTATCCCAACTTTTTTGTAGGTCTCTGTGTACTGAAAGACTGCTGTAAGGTCTTACCCATTTCCTTTTCTCCTTCAGGCTGGACAAACTCAGTGTCTTCACAGGAGGGTGCTATAGCCCTCTGATCATCATTGTGGCCCTCCTATGGACCTGTTCCGACAGCTCCTTGTCTTTCTTGTGCTGGGGGTCTCGAAGCTGAGCAGAGTGCTTCAGGTGGGGTCTCAAGAGAGCAGAATAGAGAGGAACTACTGACTCCCTCAGCCTACTTGTTATGCTTCTTTTGTTGTGGCCCAGGATACACCTGGCTTTTTGAACTGCAAGTGTACTCTGCTGGCTCGTACTCAGTTCTTTATTCCCCAACAACCCCAAGTCCTCAGCTGGGGTGCTCTCTGTCTACACATTGCTTGGCTTGTATTTACGTTTGAGATTCTCCTTGCACTTGGCCTCATTGAACTTCATGAGGTTCACACAGGCTCACCTCTAAAGCCTGTCAGAGTTCCTCTAGTTGGCAGCCCTTCCCTCCAGCATGTCAGCTGCACCCCACGGCTTTGTGTTGTTGGCAGTGTTGCTGAGGGTGCCCTCACCCACTGTCCTTGTCACTGCCAAAGATGTTACATAGCACCAGTCCCAGAGCAGATCCCTGAGGAACGCTATTTGCCACTGGTCTCCACCTGGGTGTCAAGCCATTGACTGCAACACTTTGAATGTGGCTATATAGCCAATTCCTTACCACTAAATGGTCCATCCATTAAATCTATTTTTAGTACTGGTTATGTACGAGAAAGAAAATGATATTTCTTGGCTATCACCCCTGATCAGTAGCCCTCTCAATTTACTGATTTGAGGATAGATTGTGATAATTTTCTATAACACACTGCAGGGCTTTTCTACTTCTTCAAAGTGGGTTCTTCTAGTAGACTTTATCCTTGGAAGCCTTTTCTTGCATGTAGTATTGCTAAAGCAGCTCTGAAGAATCCTTTTTTTTTTCCTTCAATATTAAATACGGATTATTATTCCTAATATCCACGTTCCAAAGCTATGATTTTAAGGCTCTTCTGTACAGTCTAATGCCTAGAGCTGAGTAGATACTTTGACTAGACATAAGACGTCAACGTGAGCTCAATGTGAAGCATTTTAAATACAGGAGATCTGTCTTTTCACGAGCTTCCCATCCTCTCAAAGTCAGCTGCTAATTCAGTTCTATTCATTATCTGTGGGTGAAATAATTACTTCACAAGTCTGATCCTGCTTTTACAGTGCTGACAGGCAATTTTCCTACAGCATATTGTTGTTGGTTCTACAGCAGTTGGCATGACTTCCTTTGTGTAAGCTCCAGGCATCAGAAGGTTATTGTTGGTGATGTGACACCTCAAGAGCCTGTGCCAGAGCCAGCCATCTCCAGGACAACATAATCCATTTCATCTCTGGCTTACCGCCTGTGCTGCACCAAAAGTGGCAGTGAATGCAGTCTGTCACGTCACTCTTCAGTCTGCACAATCTTCACATGCAGATCTGTATCTTCCTAAAGACAAGCAGTTTCTGAAATGTCCTCCTTTGTGCTTGCTGTCTGTCTGCTACAACAGGACAAGCAAAAGCTTCAAAGCCATATGCAACATCCAAAGAAAACTGAGAAGCATGCTCAGCTGAACACACATCATGTCACTGAGTGAAAGTGCTGCAAACTCTTACCTGTTGGAAGAGGATGGATTAGATCCTCCTGCAGTTGAACAGAAATTTTCTTACCACAATTCAAGCTGCCAGAATGGTAGAAATGATGGTGTATGTCCATCCTGTCCCAGAAGCTTATCACCTATGCTGATGGCTTGTACATTAGCTTGAGCTTATACACTGTGTATTATACTTGCAATTGGTTTCCATGGTTGTGGTCAAGAGTTTTACACTGGGATTTTTTCTTTCCTACACTACTGTTGCTGCTGCTGTTAAGAATCAGGCCGTTTGTACACACATTTAAGTGAAAGGAAAAGAAGCCCAAAATAGAACAGTAACAACCGTATGACGGCAGTAGTGAAGTATGGAAACCACTCCCTTTTCAAGCAGCGGGGATCAAAGTTTATGTTTGCATACGTCTGTTCTTCACATTCACAACCACGGAAAGCAGTTAATTCAGAAGAAATACTTGGCATCTAATATCATAGACGCTCTTCCTCCCTTGCTGTGTTAAATCTTCCCCCTCTGCTGTCCGTCGGAGATCTGTGGATCTGTGCAATTCATCCTTTCTGCACACAAATGGAGTTCAGTCTTAAGAGACTCACAGACTCACTTAGCCGAACTTCACCGTTCCTGACATAACACTAGATGGCAGCCAAAGCCAGGGAGACACCACGGTTCCCTTCAATCCCTTCCAACCCCGTCCTGCTGTTCCTAATTAACAACTACAACCATATCAGATAATTATTAAGACGAATTATACCTCGAATGTGTGAGGATTTTCACTCTGTGTGTCTGTGTCTTGACAAGAAATTTGAAACAGGACTTTTCTTGTGCCAGCAGCATTAACATTCCCTGCCTTTCAGCGTAAGTGTATTGAAAGATGGTGGTATTTATCACAGGAATTTGGATTCTAAATTAAAGCAAAAGCATTTTGATGTATTGATGCTTTGCAAAATATTAGATTGTACTATCTTTAAGTCTGTAGTCATTTCCCCTGGATTTTTGCTGTCACAAATCAGGACATGGCATTTGGAAGCCTTTTTTAAACCTATAAAATAATGGTCAGGGTATCTGTGCATCAATCTGTATGCAGGTACAACAGCTCTTGGGCTACAGGCCGAGGCACAAATGAACAGCTCTTCATCATTTTAGCAATGCTACTGTTTTATTATCCAGAGAACTCTAGCCCAGTAGAAACTATTTTGCTTCCAAATGTGCTGTGATGATGTTGAAGGAGCTTTACCAGATGTGTCTAAACTGTCAATAGACTATAGAGTGTATTGAGACTATGCTTTTAATAACCTATCCTAGCGTTGACAGATGACTTATCCCTTTATTTCATTCTCTCATAGGTCTATATGCAGCATACTAAAGAAAGTTTCTCAGCAGAAGGTAGTGACAGAGAGAAAAAGTAATGCTAATACATATGGTTCACAATTTTCACTATAGCACATCTGGAGGGACCCTGTGATCCCAAACATGCCATGCCTTTTGTAAGCTCTGCTAAGCACATCAGCACAGGGTGCTGGGCAGGCTCTGAGGCATTCTGTATCCTAATAGCATATAGCAAAAGGAGAGATATGCCCAGGAGTGCCTGCAACTCACTTTCATTACAAGCCAGGGTGACATAAAATGACCAAGTCACTCTACTGTGGGATCATAACAATATAACTTTCTTCCACTATGACCTCTGTGGTGATGCAAAAGGTTTGTTCTTCCTCTGGCTATCCTCAGCTCCAAATTCCCATTTGGAGAAAAGTTTCAAGTACTGTTTCTGGCAGTAAGGAGCTTGGCTAAGGACAAATTGCTGCAGAAAGCAGCCCCTAGTTCATCTCCAATAATGAACAGACAGTGTGAGTTCTGTATAGGTTTTCCATATAGCTATATTGAAAGCCTAAGTAGATGCAGCTTTTCCCAAACAAAAGGTTAATTCAAGTCTAGGATAACTTTATTTGTTATTAATGACAGAAACCTCCAGATTACTGACTGTTAGCATCGGCCTCGTGTAGGCAAACAGCTGAAAAATAGTTACTATTTTCACCTCACTACTGAAAGCTAAAAATAGTAAAAACTCCTTTTCTTTCTGCCTCATTATACTTGAAATTGTGATTACAGTTCTGAACAGTCCTCCAGCAAAACACATTTAAAAGAGAGTAATGCTTAATGCTGTTAGAAATTTCTGTTTCAATATTTACTCAGGTGTAATTAGCAATGTATTAACTATGTGAAAGTAAATTGTACCCCACTTCATCTGTGCACTTTTTTCAGCTCGCTAGCTGAAATGGAATTCATAATGTTAAACTAAATGTAAACAGCAGAGAGGTTAAAAGCTTTAGTTCTGTAGATACTTAGGGTCTGAACAGCTGTTTTCACTGAAAGGCAGTGCAAACCCTGACATAATGATTTCCACCAACAGTCATTTGTGTATCTGATGCTGAAAAAAAATCAATTATAAGAGAAAATAAGTTACGCACTAGTGTGTGCTCCTGTTCACCTAATTTCTTCTGTCCTTTATTGAAATTCTGTGGAAAATGCATCATCTGTGAACCAGTGAGAAGTATTTTTTTCTGCCCTCTAAGTACCTGCCAACTGCTAAGCCTAATACTTGAAGTTTTAGGAAATGTCAGTCTAATTCTGTGCACAAAGTTAGGCCCTCTAGTTCAGCAGGCTCTGTTACAAGTATTTATTTCCTTTACTTCCTGAAGATTTCATTGCAATCTTCAACAGAGAAGTATCAGTGCACCTCAGCATCAGTTATGTTGATGTCTCCTTGGGAATTCAGAATAGAAGCATAGAATCACCAAGGTTGGAAAAGACCTCTAAGATCTCCCAGTTGAACCATCCAGCTTTCACCCATATTTCCCACTAAATCATGTCTCTCAGTACAACATCTAAACACTTCTTGAACACCCCC